ACAAAACAAAGAAAAGTTCGGATGTCCAAAGACACTGTAGAGCGAAACATTCGGAGTATTTTCCGTCGGTTGATTGCACCATTTGTGACTATTCGACAACTGATAAGCAGAAGTTGAAGAGTCATTACATGAATGGTCATAAGCTTCCTGAAGTTGTGGCCAAAGCTGCAGTTGACGCGACACACATTGGCTCCTGATTTTTTATATAGAAAGTGGAAGAAAAAATCTGCAGAATTTTGGAAGCAGATAAAATTTGCGGGGAGTTTTTTTGTCATTTCAGACGTTTATGGGATTTAGATTTATAAATTTTAGTTTGATTTTCATAGTTTATAATTGTTGTAATACAAGTAGGCAGTCTTTAGTTTCGCCGTAGTTAATTTAATTTTTCTGTTTGTTTTTGATTTTATAAGTCAAATTAAAGGCCACAGCCTGAACGGGGCTGTCGAAAAGGTTACATTACCTGATAAAAGATTGGAAAACGTTTTTAAAAAATAGACAAACTAGAGTTTATCAATAATTTAAAGATCCATGTCATCCATTTCATCTGTTCATCGCCGCAAATGAGTCCAATAAGGAAGTTTTGCGGTCCGTTTTTTTTCCATTAGACAGTTTGTGATTTTTTTACAGCTCGTGTTGCAACTGCTTTGATATGATATTTGAATATAGATCGCTTATCAAAACAAAAGATATCGAAAAAATTGTGTATAAATTTTTGTTTGTGTGTTGTATTCGTGTATTTTCTAGTCCAGATCTTTTTTTGAGACCTCGTATTAAATAGGCTACGACCCTGACATTTCGGCTATCGGAGAATATTATGTATAATTTTTTCGATTATATCGTAACTCGGTATAACGTTGATAGACTAAGTTAAAGCAAAGAATGAACATTTTTGTACCACCGAAGTTTGAACGTGTCAGTCCAACAGGTCTTAGAATTACCTCTCAAATGGCATAATTCCCAAATGGCATAAAAATGAAAAATTTTCCAAATGACATAAATTTCATACAACAGTTGCATTTAAAAATCGAAATAAACTTTTTCGCGAGCTAAGTGCGAAATTGGTCTCAGGTCAATTCAAATGCTGATTGACATTTCATTCTTAAAAAATTGCATTATTTTTTAAATGGAAAAGCATTAAGCTTGCGGTTATTGATAAGCCTCTTGTGGTCAATTGTCGTTCAACTTTTGTTCCTGACAACATTTGTTCCATGTTTTCGTTCCTGACAAAATTTTAGAATACGAAATTGATATAAAACGTTTGAATTACAATGAAAACTTGAAATTTATGCCATTTGGGATAAGTTTCATTTTTATGCCATTTGGGGGTTATCCGGTCTTAGGGTGCAGCAGATAAGCTGAGCTCCTAAAAAAACTAGGAGAGTTTTGGATGTAATTTAAAGAAAAAAATGATGGTTTATTCTTATTGTGCGCGAAAAACTGGGAATAACGCAAAAAGATAAGCGTTTTGGCTTTGACAGGTGTAAAGAGATTTCCCCTGAACTGATCAGTAAAATATGATGGAGAAAAACTGATAAAGTTTGATAAAGTGGTTGGTTTTTGATAGTTGTTGGAAGTTATTTTGTTGTTCCGACCAATGAAAGTGGCGAGTAATTTTGTATTCCGGTGTTTTAGTATTTTTTCTTCTTTTTGTTTTCCACGCAAAATCAGCTACCACAAATAATCATCGGAAAGGGTTGAGTGATATATCATATTCTAGCCCTTTCAGTCGTGATTCGAGCCACCTTAAAAAATTTCCAAAATTTTTCCCAGTGTCGAGAAAAACCGGTTTGAAATTTTTGATTTTTTTGTCTTAATTCGAGCGAGCGAGCAGTCTCTTTTTGTTTTCCTCGCAAAATCAGCTACCACAAATAATCATCGGAGAGGGTTGAGTGATATATCATATCAAAGCCCTTTCAGTCGTGATTCGAGCGACATCAAACGATTTCAAAAGTTTTCCCGGTGTCGAGAAAAACCGGTTTGAAATTGTTGTTTTTTCGTCTAATTTCGAGCGAATGAGCAGGCTTCATTAGCTTATTTATGCTTAATTTAAGCCATGAAAATTTTTTATTTGTACGCTTAATTAAAGCCTTGAAGATTTAATTTCACCCTAGCTTACGTAATTTTTGGAGTTTTTAGCTTGATTATAAGAATAAAAAAACTTCAAAAATTAGGTAAAATTTTTAAAAAAATTAAATTTTTGTTTTGTTTTTCTAGTTATTTGACGACAAAAATTGTTTTCCAATTTGTTTATTTTACATGATTGACGAAAATGCCTAAGCAATTCCTTCTCGCTCAGATTCTTTTATCACACCAAGTCGAAAAAACTACACTAATTTGAAAAATAATTTTGCAATTTTTTAAGACTAGTCAGAACATTATGTGCTACTTGCACAGCAATCGGTTATCCTTGTTCTACTTTGTTGTCATCTTCAGAGGGGCGGAGCATACGGGGATCTTTACGCTAGCGCGCAATCAGTTGTGGCGCAATAACGCCGACCACTCCGACATTTTATGTTAGGATGAAAATCAGGTTAGATGATTTAAATGGCCGAAAGTTCTCAGAATACGTGATTTGAAAGTAATAAGTTTCATTGGGATAAGTTTCATTTTTATGCCATTTGGGGGTTATCCGGTCTTAGGGTGCAGCAGATAAGCTGAGCTCCTAAAAAAACTAGGAGAGTTTTGGATGTAATTTAAAGAAAAAAATGATGGTTTATTCTTATTGTGCGCGAAAAACTGGGAATAACGCAAAACGATAAGCGTTTTGGCTTTGACAGGTGTAAAGAGATTTCCCCTGAACTGATCAGTAAAATATGATGGAGAAAAACTGATAAAGTTTGATAAAGTGGTTGGTTTTTGATAGTTGTTGGAAGTTATTTTGTTGTTCCGACCAATGAAAGTGGCGAGTAATTTTGTATTCCGGTGTTTTAGTATTTTTTCTTCTTTTTGTTTTCCACGCAAAATCAGCTACCACAAATAATCATCGGAAAGGGTTGAGTGATATATCATATTCTAGCCCTTTCAGTCGTGATTCGAGCCACCTTAAAAAATTTCCAAAATTTTTCCCAGTGTCGAGAAAAACCGGTTTGAAATTTTTGATTTTTTTTGTCTTAATTCGAGCGAGCGAGCAGTCTCTTTTTGTTTTCCTCGCAAAATCAGCTACCACAAATAATCATCGGAAAGGGTTGAGTGATATATCATATCAAAGCCCTTTCAGTCGTGATTCGAGCGACATCAAACGATTTCAAAAGTTTTCCCGGTGTCGAGAAAAACCGGTTTGAAATTGTTGTTTTTTCGTCTAATTTCGAGCGAATGAGCAGGCTTCATTAGCTTATTTATGCTTAATTTAAGCCATGAAAATTTTTCATTTGTACGCTTAATTAAAGCCTTGAAGATTTAATTTCACCCTAGCTTACGTAATTTTTGGAGTTTTTAGCTTGATTATAAGAATAAAAAAACTTCAAAAATTAGGTAAAATTTTTTAAAAAATTAAATTTTTGTTTTGTTTTTCTAGTTATTTGACGACAAAAATTGTTTTCCAATTTGTTTATTTTACATGATTGACGAAAATGCCTAAGCTATTCCTTTTCGCTCAGATTCTTTTATCACACCAAGTCGAAAAAACTACACTAATTTGAAAAATAATTTTGCAATTTTTTAAGACTAGTCAGAACATTATGTGCTACTTGCACAGCAATCGGTTATCCTTGTTCTACTTTGTTGTCATCTTCAGAGGGGCGGAGCATACGGGGATCTTTACGCTAGCGCGCAATCAGTTGTGGCGCAATAACGCCGACCACTCCGACATTTTATGTTAGGATGAAAATCAGGTTAGATGATTTAAATGGCCGAAAGTTCTCAGAATACGTGATTTGAAAGTAATGTCACAAAAGCAATTGCTATTATTACACTTGCGACAGCAAGTGTCTTCTATCGTTGGGAACTAGAATTTTCTCTCGTGAACAACTTTTCTTAAAAATCAGGTTACATGATTTAAATGGCCGAAAGTTTTCAGAATACGTGATATGAAAGTAATGTCACAAAAGCAATTGCTATTATTACTTTTGTGACAGCAAGTACCTTGTATCGTTGGGAATGGATTTTCCGTGAACAAATTTTCGTAAAAATCTTTAAGAAAGTGTGAAGTTGTTTTATTCGTGAGCCTTAGCAATTTCGAGACTCTATCGTAGTTGAAATAGAGGTAACGTGGTTACCTTTGTGCCCTAAGGTCTGGGGTTTGAGTCCCGGCCGGTGCCGAACCTTGTTTTATAGTAATTGTGAAATTGAATGTTTTTTCCGGGAAAAAATGACTTGTCGGACTTTCGCTTGTCTGCTTATGTTTTGTTGGCTTAGTTGATACATCGGGGATTTTTTGTGCTGCCCGCGATTTTCATCGTAGATGCAAGTTTTTTAAATTAATTTCTATAATTTGCAAATTTAATAGCCCTGAGGTGTATTATTTCCTTAGATTTCTTTTTTTTTCGCTTGAAAGCTTTATTTAGCCTGACTGATTTTGGATTTATATTTTATCGGTGTTTTTTGAAAAATTAAGGTAGTTTGTGTTGCGAGATTTCAACTTTTTAAAAAATTAAATAAGGTAGTTTGTGTTGCGAGGTTTCAAATTTTTAAAAATTAATATGCTCAAAAATTTTTTTGACAACAATTTTTTATGGCATTTGTTTCAACTCAATCGGCCTCTACCCACTTGCCCTCTTGTTTTCGGCTCAGTGGCCGCTCGGTTAATACTAGAACCTTATTTAATACTGGAGGTTGTGTTTTTAGACTATTTTTCTGATATTATTTTAATTCCACCCCCCCTCCCATTTTTTCGGTTTTGTTATTTTCGTCTTATTTTTTGTTCATTAACTTGCAATGCTGCGCTTGCGTTGTATCGTTATGCCAATTTTTGTATCAAATTTAGTGTGTATTGGTGTCAGAATGAGTTGCTTATTTTTTTGAATAGATAGTCAGTTAGAATGACCGCTTTCGTCTGTGTGGTTACATGCGTTTTTGACACCTGCACGCAGATTACGTTCATTTGCACAAAGTGGCACGCACATTTATACGTTTTACAATCAAAATCACTTGCATCAAAATTTTATACTTTCAATACGTTTTAAAAATTCTCTTCAACTTACAGCCGTAAGTATTCATTTACATCATACGATCAATTTCGGTATATCGGAATTTCACTAGCAATGCCTTCGACTGTGGCAAATCCGAAACCATCTTCGACTTCCAGAGGTTCAAAACCATCTCCTAAAGACCCAAAAGCAACAGTATCAAAAGTAGTAACATCACCGCCCAAAGATGATACCGCTCCGAAAGGAGTTAGTAGTGCTTTTCTTCAGAATTTTCTGAGCAAAACTTTAACTGATAAATGTTTGACGACATCCGAAGCTTTGACTAAAAATATTTTACCGGAGACCAAAAAACAACAATGTGCTTACGTTACTTTGTACGCGAAGAGTAAAAATTCGGCCGGAGTTCCATTTGTATCGACTGCCAATGTGTTCGTGAGTCATGCGTGGAAGTATAAACTGGCAGATCTCATCCAGACATGTCTGGACTATGCAGAGAAATCGAAGGAGGGGAACAAGATGTTTTTCTGGATTGACTTATTCACAAATAATCAGAACACAGGTATGTTGTTATGTTACCCAAACAGTTCTGTACTTAGTACTGTAAGTATCAGGGGCGGATTTGGGGCAGGGTTAGACGTCCGTCCACGACCCTCATACCCTCAGGAATTCAAATGTTTCATGATGCGAAGACTGCTTGCTTTCGTATAACTTCGCGAGATCCATTTTGGCCCACCAATCCTAAATTTTGACGGCTTTTCTGGCACCATTTTATACATTTTGTTAGTAAACTTGGAAGGATAATATCAGTTTAACCATTTCAACATGAATAACGTTTTGATCAAGTTCTTACTTGTATTTATTTTATTCAAAATAGTGCCGCCACCTTTGCTCGTTTCAGGTTTTCCAATTTTTTCTCGTCCAATTTCAAGGCTTTTATATCCTTTAGTTCTGTTTTGACATATGTTTTAAGTTAGCCCAACTAACATTTTGTGGTTTTGAAACAACTAAGTATTAATACAAAAACATGATCAGTTTGAAATTACTGTTTGAAACCGTCTCTGAATCACAAAATTCATGCATACACTGCTGGTCATGTTCGATTCTGTATTACTCATTAGCGAATAGGTTAAACGTAAGTGTTGCGAGTTCGCATATTATGCATAACGCCAAAATTCACAATGAAAGGCGTTTTCTATTATCGGATCCTATCTTTTTTTAATATTTGCTGAGACAGTAATTTTTTCTTTGTAGCCACCTCTAAGGACCAGAGTTGGTGGAGTGACAACTTCCGAAGCATCATCGGACTCATAGGCACCACCCTCCTCGTCCTCTCCCCCTGGAACAACCCCATCCCCCTCACGCGTGCATGGTGTCTCTGGGAAATACTATGTACTGTGCAGGAAAGTGACCATTGGAATTGAAAACGTGAAATGTTAACTAGAATGAGAATAATAATCAATTCTCTTTTGAGAAAAATTTTGGTTATAAGTTTTAAGGCTTCATAGTAAAAAGACAAATAACTAGTTTATCATGCACTGTTAGAGATTTCTGAGGGAGGAAAATCAAAACAATCTAAAAAAATAATCTCTTGATGGATAAGCAACTTTAGATATAGAATTTTCAACTTCTGTGGAACTATTGTTTCTAGAGACGTTTTTTCGTTACATCTTAGTCAGTTGTTTGGAGCAGATCAAACAGCCCAATAAATATAACGATATTTTTTGCTTTGCTGTGTCGTGTGGGGATTTAGATGATCAAAAAAATAGCTAATAAGACTATTCAAATGGCCATAACTGGTGTAGGAGAAGGCAAAGTTAGTGGTGGCTCTGCCGGCTGACCAGAATAAATTGTTCAACGAAGCCATCAAACAGGACTTCACAGCTATTCTCACAGAATTCAGCAACATACAGGTGAGAAAACATAACGTTACTTTTAGGATACACTCGGGATAACGCATTTTTTTAAACAATAATGACCCAGCTTCACCATCTTCTCGCTATTTCGATTTTTAGACCATTTTAAAACACTCAAAATTTATATTAATATTTGATCAAAATTTATATTAAAATTTCATTATGCTGTGAAGCGATTGATTTGACTCTGAAAGTAGCAGAGATACAGCAAGAGAAGATTTGCCTTCTGGCCCGAATAACGCAAAGCAGACCCTTGTGTTATCCTACGAAATCAATTGTTTCCAACCTCATTCGCTTAAAAATGCTCAATTTTTGTGCTCATTTTAGTTCCGCTACTTTAGCATGCTATAACTATATGACGACAGCTAGAAGAGTTACAAAATAGGAAGCTGGAATTAGGTTAGCAGTTATTTTTTCTTATTTTTTAAAGCTTAAATATTGTTTTAATGTATCGCAATTTGAAAAATTTGAAAATATCGCTTGCCATTTTTTGCTAGGTTTTGCTGTATATTATCAATAAATTCCCTATCAATGACTTTGCTAGAAATTGTTTACCGTTAAAAATTTTGTTCGCATGACTCTTCCAGATTTTGTTTGTTAGCATATCAAACTCCAGCTACTAAATTTGACCATTTGGCGCAAAAATATCGTCCATGCTTTTGACGAAGAAGGTCAGTAGTTTGAGTCCTTGTTAAGCTGACAAATTTTTGCTGTACAAAAATGATTTTTTTTTCGGACGACCGTGTGAGGCTATCTATTTTTATGTCGAGTTAGTTTCCACAGCACGGAAATTTCTTGATGTTTCTGCGGCTTTTACCCTTGCGATAAGCAAGAGTATTGAAATCGGGTACTAGACTTTTTTCCCGTAAAATTTTTGCTCACTGTGTTGAATTTAGGTTCAGTTCATAATCAATTCATATTTCTTAGCGTCTCCGGTGCACTTTGTGTCTCCGGCACATACGTCATTTGGCACAGGTCTTGGGTTCGAATCTGACAGGATCTATGAAAGGAAATGATTTTTTGTCTGCTTATATTTTTTCGACTTAATTGCCACATCGTAGAATTGTTTTTTTTTGCTGTACGCAAGTTCAATTGTAGTTGCTTTTAGTGCTTACATTTTTTTCTGCTATTTGCAATTTTGACGAAACTTGACTAACTTGACTTCGTATATTTTCTTTTCTCGTTTTTTTTTCGCTTGAAAACTTTTTTCTGCCAAAACATTTTCTGCTTATTTTTTATTGGCTTAGTGACATATTTTTAGGTAGTTTCAAGAAAACATAATTTTTTTGCTCCCTCAAAATGCTAGGATTGCACAAAATGCTGAAAATTTTAATAGAATTTATAGTTTTTCATGGCAACAGAATAACCAAATTGTTTCAAATCAACAATTTTGGTATTTTGAGGGTGAGAGGGACTTAATACTTTTTGTTAGTTATATTCACCCTTGAGATAAGCAAGGGTATTGCAATCGGGTACTAGATTTTTTCCCCGAAAATAAATTTGTTCACAGAATTGTCAAAATTAGAATTGGTAATTTTAAGTTCAGATTTTTTAGCATTCCTGGCACATTTAATCTGTAGGTAACTATTAATCTTGGAACGGCAACGATCCTGGGTTCGAATCTGACCGAATCAAATATGTTTTAAGCAGGAAGTATTCCGTTTAAAAAATTGCAGGCTGATTATTTGTCTGCTTATGTTGTTTCGTCTTGGTTGCCACATTCTACAATTTTTTTGCTGTTCAAAACTAACATTGTATTTAGTTTAAGTGGTCTGATATATTTCTAATGTTATAAATTGTACTAGCCTTGACTTCGCATAATTTTTTTTCCTTAAAAGCTATTCTGACAACATTTTTCCTGTCAACAGTTTTTTCAGCTTTTTTGCCTATGATAGGTTTAAGCGTATGTTATATCGGTTTTATGACCTCATGTTGCGTCTAGATGAGCAAAAAAGTATGTGTGTCCCTGTCTGTGTTTTGAGAGTGAGGGGGGCTTTATAACTTTTTAATAGTCTTAAACTTTTGAATTTTCTTCCGGCTCATTTTTAATTTTTCTTTTATTTGGGCTTAATAGGTTTCGGCCTATGTTTAACCGGATCAGTGACCTTATATTGTTTCATTCGAGGAGCAATAAAAGTTTTGTGTGCTTGTTTGTTTAGAGGGTGATTGGGACCTAATATAATTTTTTATAAGTCTTGGGTCTTTTTAATTTTTTTTTGGTTTAAAAGGTTTCTTCTAAGGTATTTTCGGCTTTGTTAACGCTTGGTAAATTGTCTTCTATTGCTAATTTCACATGCTGTTGTCTTGTCATGTTTTTATTTCAAAATTAGCTTTATTCATTTGGATAGATCTACTTTTTTTCCGAAATTTTCATTCGTTTTCCGACTTAGCGGCTGTTTTGTTTTGTATCGCAAGCGTTGCGATGCTCAGCTTTGCCTCTGTGTTTAAGTTTAAGAATTGCATTTCTAAAATTCCTCATGGTACAGTTATTTCAATTTGAGTTTTTGTGGTTTTTTCTTCATGTTTTCCTCATAAACTTTTGGAAAAAAAAGATTTCCTATAATTTTTTGAAGATGACTTCCACTTTGTTTAATTTGTCAAATTTGAACACTTTCGGTCATAATTCAGATCGCGAATTTGTTTACTTTTCGAAAATATGTCTCAGCAAATTTGTTTTTTAGACTAACGGACACAAAAAAAGGAGGTACTGAAATCTCAATTCGGTTCTACTGCAATTTTTTTTGGTATTTTTATATCTCTCATTTTTACAGTTCTCCTTATTTAAACTAACCTTCACTTATTTATATTTAAAATGTTGTATTTATTTTAATGTGGTCAGCAGAACAATCCGTGCTACTTCGTTTGAATTATTAAGCATTGCAATCATCAGAAAAAAATGTCCTTTTGACGTTAATTTCTTGCTTCAAAAAATGCAGTTTAACTAAATTTACGAATAAAAAGGTGATCCAAAAAAACTTGGAGTAAAAAGAAATAATTTGCTTTTGTTTTAGAGCAAAAAAGCGGAGGCTAGTCGCGTGGAGGACAAAGAGATGATCTTCGGCCAGATCCAGGCCACCCACTCCTTCCACCAGCTGGACTCTTTAGTCAAAGACCAACTCAGACAGTGGTTGTTCACAACGGCAGAACACATCATCCAACAGTCATCCTCACAGACAGGTGAGATATTTTTGGATGGTAGTCAGCTATGGAATGAATTAATGGCGCTTGAAATATGACGCGGAGTTCTTTTCTAGTCAGAGTCAGAGTTTATAAATATGGATTGTCAGTGGGGAACCCGTGATTTCGTTAATCGGCCTTAGTTATTATAGGGCAAGCAAATTGCAGATCCGCTGGTCTAGTCGCATATCAATTCGAAGTTCGATATATGATCAAGTTGAATTTTCTATAAAATTGGTGTGATGAATTATGGACTTAGATGACTTGATTCTTCTTCTTCTACTGCTGGTTATGTTAAACGAAAGAGGGTTTAAGATATTTTTAAGAGGTGCTGAATTAGAGAATGAATCGTCAGTGAAGCATAATACGCAGTTCAATTCCACAGACTGTTATGTTTTACGAAAATTAAAACTTATTTTTATCACCGGTAACGCATTTGTAATGGGACGATTCTTTATGAATGCGATAAAGCGTAGCATACTCTCTGACTGAAATATCAGTTGGTATGCCATTCTGAAGCTAAAACCTCTTAGAAGCCAGCATTAACGAGTAAGTATTAACTTAGTGTTGGTGTTTTAGTGTTGATAAACCAAGTGACGATTTATTTCTGGCTTCTTAAATTCAGTTTAAGTTTGACTACCGAGTCATTTTCAAAATTTAGTTTGCCTCAGGCAGCGATAACTAATGATCTGTTGGCTGTGTTGATAGACCAAACTCTGGAGACAGGGAAGTTACTCATCCAGATCGCCTCCTGGTACTCCCAGTTGGGCAAGTTAGAAGAGGCTGAACAGGTGTTCTCCAGAGCTGAAAAGATATTCACTTCATTCCCAGCTGAGGAAAAACAGCAGCTGGCAATGGCTAGTCTGCATAACAACAGGGGGTACATGTACAGCGAGAGGGGAAAACACGACGAGGTTAAATTCAATTTCTGAATGGGGCATTATGGTATTCGCAGAAAGTGGCAAAAGTTCTAGCCAATCAAACTTCTTGAAATTTGCCTAAGACGTGAACGAATGACTTCGCATTTTTAAATACCCAATTCGAATCGGCTAATTAAAGTTTTGTGTTTTCTGATATCTAGACCTGTCATATGAAGATCCTCTTTTTAGATCTATGCTACCAGAAGAACGGAGTCGAAAACTTGAATATGTCGAAAACCTTTTAATCCGCTTTGATTAAGCGTCAACGACACCTCATTAAAATTGTTATTGGAATTCCGGTAAAGTGATTCATTCGTTAAACTCAAGTGAGAGTGCCCTTCAAAAAGGAAACTTTTCGGCCAAGTTCGAATGATATATTCATTCTAATGATTACTGGAAAATGTTTTTTTTTCGCATCGTGAACGGCTCGGTTAAAGGCGCCTCCGCTAGATTTGTAACTAACCACTGGTGAACAAACTTTTTTGACGAAGCTTTTCGATGAGAAAATAATTCTGTGGATTGACATTAACGTTCCATTTCCTGGTTAATCAAACTTTGTTCTCAGGCCTTGAAGAATTTCCAAGAAGCCGTCAAATTGAGAATGAAACACGAGAAAGACAGCTTAGAAATAGCATCTCTTTACAATAACATCGGGTCCATATATGGAAATGTTGGGAACTACGACAAAGCGTTCGAATATTACGAAAAAGACATGAAAATCAAAGAAAAACTTATCTCAAATTCATCGTCATCCTTTGAAAAATATTCATTAGCTACGAGTTTGAATAATTTATCCATGCATTATTTGAATTACAAAGATGATACTGTTAAAGCGAAAGAACTCGGCGAAAAGGCGCTCAAACTCGCGATCGAAAGTTTTGGTGCAGATCATTATGGACTTGACAAGTTCTACGAATGCATGGGAACTATTTGTCTCTACAATGGCGAGCTGGAAACAGCCGTTGAAACCCTGGAAAAGGCTGCCAAAATTAGCAGGGTCAATTTAGGAGCAAATCACGTGAATGTGGGCAATATCAAGACGACTTTGGGTCTGGCGTATAAGAAGTTGGGCAAAATTGAGTTAGCCATTGAGTGCTACAAGGTGATTACTGCTCCAGTGTTTTTACACAAGCAAAGCTTGTGTAATAGTATGAACTATCTTTTTTTCCAACTTAAGTCGCAAATATTGTTGCGACAAAATGTGTTCATGTTGAAAGTATTCATTTTGATCATTAACGAGCTATTAAGTACACAGACTATTATATTACAAATAGCACTGTAGCTTCAATGTATCATGGATTTGTAGCGTAGAGGTGGGAAAGAAGGAGTATTTTTTCGATAGGTTCTTTTATAATAGATATTTAAAAAATGATAGATATTTTAAATTTTATTTTTTTTTGACCCGTCAACCGGGCCAAAAAAAATAAAAATTTAAAATTCTTGAGAGAATGAAAAAGGAACTTGAAGGTATTGCTTGGCGAGTAATTTAACTTTTTTTTCAAAAACTGTAATTTGAAGCGTAATGAGAAAAACAAAATAGATTTAACTCTCATTATTTGAGAAAGAATGGATAGTTTTTTCTAATACTTTAAATAATCACTAAATTATATAATTATTATGTTATTATTATATCATTTATTAGCTTCCAACTTATTATAAAAGCTTCCGAAGTTGTTTAAAAAGTGAAGCATTAGAAGGTGATGTATTGATAGGAATCGGAGCGTGTGCTGTGTGTGAGTTATGGGGCGGAAAACGAAGCATTGAGCAACTTGTACCACAACACGGCTAGTCTATTGGCAGAGAAGGGAGACTTCAAAGGTAGCATCGAGTATAGACTGAAGGTAAGGAGGGAGCTAACTGTTCAGGATTTGTAAAGTAAGCTAAATTATCGAAATGATACAAAAATATTCCGTTTCTTGTACTATTCCAGTGACTGATCTACTGTTGGTGCGTATGTTTTGTAATTTTGAAAACTTTTTCAACCACATTTCTTAGCTCAAATGTGCCGACAAAATTTACGTTACTGGTATTTGTTTCGCGGAATCCACGTTAATTTTGTTATTGGAATCCACTTACATTGTAAGCATGTTTAAAGACTTGTCTCTGGAACCCAGGAACATACAGTATAATTGCTGGTCTTTTTAATTTGATGATATAAAAGTTTTTTGATCAACAATTTTTCTCAAGTTATTCTTCGTAGTTTCTACATGCAAGTCCCAAAAGTTTTTTTTTCAAATCGGGGAAACTCTTTTTGATTTTTTATGGATTCCAAATCATGGCTGGAATGGCTTTAATATGATCTGGCCCCCATATAGCTTTCTTCGAAATAATCAAAATACCTCTGAAAAAAAAATAGTTTGAAACCATATTTCGTTCACTCGCTTTTTAAGGGAGTGGGTCGTTAAAAAGATGCCGTTCAGTATTTTCCGCTCATGGATGATTTTCAGAAATAATTTGATTGAAATATGATCAACATATTCTGTAATCTGTATCCTAGGATCTTAAAATCTGCGAGGCCAAGAAGGGTACAAGTGGTCTGTCGGACAAGAACCTCTTCTGCTGTTTGAACAGTCTGGCAGTGTGCTACTTCCAGAACAGTCAAGTGAAAGAGGCTGTAGAGTGTTACAATAAGTCGATAAAAATAGCGAAGAATCTGTTTGGAGAAGACAGCGAGGAGTTCACGCAAACAAAAGACGACTTAGAAATCGCACAATCTTATTTGACAACATAGTTATTAGATTTTTAGACGTTAGGTTTTAGCGCATTTGTCAAATAACATCGGTATGTTTTGCTGTTATAAAAATTTTATTTCAAAGTATATTAATTTCACTTTATTTGGGAAAATATTTGAGTTTATTGTAAATAAAAAATTTTTAAACTGGACAATCATGTGAGCAACAAATAAAAACCCATACAGTCAAGAATATTTGGTCAATTTATATTTTGGTACGATTGTAAGAATGGAAATTGGGGATTTAGTTTAGCTCAAATAGAGGAGCGCTCGCTTAGAATACGAAAAAAAAAGTTTTTTTTTTGGGAGGGGGGGGGGGGGTGTGTCGATGTCTACTATCTCCACTCCATTCATTTTTTCAGTTTGCAGTGCCTTTAACGACAATATTTCAATATCAGATCACTGGAAAAGTTTCCACCATTCGTTCAAGCATTTCCGGTTGCTTCCCGTGTTTTCTTCTGACCGTTGGCTTGTGTTATTATAGTTGTTATGAGTAACTGAGGTAAAGGGAACGCAAACTTTCTACCACAAACTGCAAATCTAATCCAAAATATTTAAGTGTTTTTGCACTAATATTTAAGCGTTTTTGGAAAATTGAGTAATAGTTAATAAGATCATATTAGTTCTATCATCTTTTTCGCAATTGGTTGCAGTCATTTTCAAAAATTGTCTTTTTTAATTTTAGGAGGCGCTCAAATATTAATTATATGAAAACTAATTGCTATGAAGAAAATTAATTGATGGTTATGAGCCAGCATTTGTATTCATTTTGATATCAATTAGGTGGTTAATAATCAAGGGCAAACAAAAGCGAATACGTCAAATTTGAAATTGCTCCAAAGAAGCAATGGTTGAGATATTTCCTTCTACTTAGCTAATTGTTTCAACTTTCGAAGAAAACGGAATATGCTTGAGCCAGTTTTTTTATTCAGTCAATTTTTGATTTGTAACTAATCGTTTTTGACTGACTTTTGTCATCTGAAAGATATTGTTGTCCTGGGCCCAAATTGAAAAACCTGTGATTATTTTTCGTAAAGTTACGGGGATTTAAAAATAGCCAATTTGGCCAAATTGGGATATTTAACGTTAGATATATTGCGTTCTTATAACATGCGTAAGTGGTGGATTAACTTTCAAACGTTTTGCGCAAATTTTTGGAGATTTTTATCATTCTTGGTCTTTTTTGGGCTATGTGAGAGGCTTCTTTTGAAATAACTTTTTAATCAATTAACTTCGTAATTGTAGCTTTATTCGTGATTTACTAACAAAAGCCAAAATCACCCATTTTTGTGTTAAAATTGGTTACGAGCTTCGCAAAATAAAGTGCACCATGATAATGGTGAAATTCGTCACCCTTGCGATAAGCAAGGGTTTTGCATTTGGTTACTAGACTTTTTTTCCCGTAAAACTTTAGGCACAGAACGGTCAAATGGTAAAAAAAATGCATGTTTGCTTAATAACGTGGTAACTGTACTAGCTCCGTGCAGTTAAGACGCGGCATCTAGTTGTGTTACGTTAAGAGTTGCAAATGAGTTTTTGTAGGATTCCAAAATTTTTGGTAGAGATCGGTCGGCTTCAGTTCTGTCGGCTCATTTTCCTAATTCTTTTTGTCGACTAATTTTTTTTTGATATTATATGGGAGTGATTGAATTCTTTGAATGAAATTGAGGAAAAATTTAATCAACCTCTTAAAATAAATAAAGTGAAAAAAATTTAAACTAAAACATTTTCAATTTTTTTGTAATTTTTTTTCTCAGTTCAAGTAACAAAATTGGTTCAATCATTTGTTGATTTGTTGCAAGATCGACTGTATTTATAGCATTTTTTGGTGCAGATAAAATAGCTCATTAATTTTGGCGCATTTTTTGTTCAGTTTTTTTGAGTTTTTCGATATTTGATTTTTGAATTTTTTTCTCATTTGTGATATCATATTAAAGCTTTATTATTGCTCTGGTAAAGCTGGTCTAATTTTTCTGTTTTTATGTCTGATTTACTGCAAAGCGAGTGGATGAGAAAGAGAAACTACTATTTTTTTATAACGTTTTTAATTTATTAATAACTATTTCTTGCAGTAAATTATCTTGCTGCAGTCGGAATATTCCGTGCTATTTGTACTACAATTGGCTATCCTGGAATTTTTAAAAACTGATTTTTTCACGGCATATTTTTTTTAAATTATTTTTCATTTGCAGAGACACTTTTTACATTTTTTGCCCGCGTTATTTAGTGCATCTCTGACACTGCGTTTGTTTTACAGAATGATTCTCTGGAACATCTATGCGTACAGGTATAATAATTGAAACCCAGTAAAAGCAAAAACGAAAAGTACCTCACGTTTCCGCTTTTTTTACTTAAAGAGCAAAATGAACAAACGTTCCATCTTTTCCAAAAACTTTCAATCATCCTTACTATCATACTTGCGCCCATTTGTGAAACAGATCATTCAATATGTCGAAGTAGCCAATTTAAATTTCGAAGTCAGCAATAATCCTACACATGAACCACGTGAACTTTTTCAAGGATAGATTAATAAAGAGTCGTATGATGGATGTGAAAATTGTTTTCAGATAATGACCATGGACGCTTTCGAGGTTTCATTGACTTTGAACGATCTCTACTCGAATAAATTGACATGCTTTTCAAGTTTGAGGTTCAAGTTGTTGGATTTTGAAGAATCTAGTTCTCTAAATTCAGTTGGATCAAAAAATATTGCAGGTTTTTTTTCCATTACCTCAACGAAACTAGAAAGTGATTCAAATTTTCTTCAAGTTAAAAAAGAACCGCAAGCTTCGATGCCTTTTGCAAGCCTTCCGAATAACCTTAAGAGACCTCTGCCATCCAATCAAAAAACCGTCAGGAACATTCAGCCTGCTAAAAGAAAAACATTTGAACAAAGTGCAAATCCTGGAAACTCGAATTCGCCGAATGAAACTGCGGTGGCCAAAAAACAACTCTGGGCTTCGTGCGTTTTGGACAATGTTAAAATGTTCATGTGTGCTTTATGTGCTTACAAGACTAAAAACAATAGTGACATCCACAGACATTGTCGAACTAAACATCCCGAAACTCTTCCTCAGTATAGGTGCTCTAGTTGTGATTTTTCGACTGCCGATAAACTTAAGTTGAAAAATCATTATATGAAAAGTCACAATTTGGCCGAAATTATTGCAGCTGCAGCGGTAGAAGCGACGCCTATTAGTTAGTCATAGGACGTAGGACTTTGTTTTCAAACTGAAAACTAGTTGTCTTTGTATCGTTAATCATTTGAAATTAGTTTTTCACCATTTAATCTTCGTTTAGATGATGAAATTTTGTCTAGATTGGTTGAATCTTTATGTCAATTAGGTTATTTGTGTTTAAAATCGTAGATTTTTTTTGTTACCGTTAGATTGTGGTTTAAGCAATTATTTTTACTTCTGCAGAGCCTGATGAAATCAAAGTTTGGAATCAATGATTGAAATGATTTGGTTGTACGAAGTTTTCGTTGAAATTTTCATATTTTGAAATTTTGTTAGGAAATTGGTGCATCAAGCTGGTTCTTATACTTTAAGACTTCAAAATGGACGCCTTCGAAATCGGGTTTCAGTTCAATGAAGATTTTTTGTTCCGAAACATGAATACCCTGCATTTGATGAACTATTACATCATCGCAAAGCCTCAAAATGATGAGCCTGTGGTTCATTCAGACGAAACCATTGGTGAGATTAAATTAGCCGAAACGTGTTCCCAGTCTCTTTTATCCGATTTTACGAAGCTCAAATTTTCTCTGACTCCAAAAGTGGCTCAGAAACGAGCATCAACTTTTAACTTACAATCGCCTAAAGTGAAAAAACAACCAAATTTCAGCGGTTCTCTGGCTCCTAAAACTGATTCGGACGTCGGCGCTTCGGCTGGAATGCAACCAAAAACCCAAATGTTTGCCGAGTGCGTGATCAACGGACAGAAAACGTACATGTGCACGCTTTGCACCTATAAAACCACTTACAACAGTGCAATTCACAGGCACGGCAGATCTGCGCACGGTGAGAACTTGCCCAGTTATAAATGCGGAAGTTGCAATTTTGCGTCGCCGGAGAAAAGTAGGCTCAAAAATCATTACATGAAGTCGCACAATTTGACAGAAGTTGTCGCAAAAGGGGCGGTGGAAGCAACGCCTTTGGAATGAAGTTTCTAAGAAGACCAACGGAAATTCAACTGTTGAAAAAATAAAGCAGAGATACGATTTTTAAAATTAAAACTACAGTAGATCAACTAAATTGTTTTAGTGAGTCGATTACTGATTTTGCTTAGTTGAGTTTTGTTATACTTGCGCTTATGGTTCTTGATAAACTACATTTGCGGGACATTTTCATTAGATTAAGCTAAGATTAGATTTTCAGCAGCTCATTCGAAACTAATAATCGATTTTAAAAACCAATTTGCTATTGCAGATGCAATTTGTCTACTTTTCAGATTCTTGGAAATGGATTCTTTTGAAATCGCTGTTCTCCTTTCAAGCGAGTATTTGGACAAGCTCAAATGTGTAGACAAACTCACTTTCAACCTGTCTGACGCCGTAAACGAAGACTTCGATATGGCGCGATGTCAGCGACCAGTAGGGCATCTCACTATCGCAGAGAAAAACCTCCCGGATGTAAATACAGTAATTAAGCAGAAGCCAATTCATCAGGCACAAATTGCGACCATGAAACAAGTCGGTCAGAAACGAGCAGGATCTATGCTTCCTAGAGCTTCTCCCGCGAAAAAGGCCAATGTTAAAGTGGAACCAGACATAGCAGGAAACACCTCGGGAACAGCAGCTGTTCAGAAGCAGATGTTTGCATCGTGTATTTTTGACGAACAGAAAATGTTTTTATGCGCCCTTTGCAGCTACAAGACTAAACACAACAGTGACATGCATAAACACATTCGAGGTAAATTAGTTCGAAGTCAAACTTTTAGTAGCATGCTTGGTTTTTTCGGATCTTGTGAAACAGCTTGTGAGGCTTTGATTATAACTTTTTTTAGAGCAGGCAACTTAAGTATTTCATTTTTTTGAAAATTTTGTTTGTTTGAAAATTTTGTTCAAACTTTAAATATGTCCATAGAAATCAATGCATATGTTTC